AATATTATACCATACCAAGATTTTTTTGTAATTTACTTAACAATTAATTACATTCTTAATCATATAAGTTAGCTTAAAAAAGAGTTATCACTTTTTTATTATTAATAAACAACTCTTGAATCCATGTCTGGCCACCTTAAACAAACAAAGGAGGGAAGCGCACGCAATTAAATGCGACAGACAGAGAAAGAGCCCTCTCTCTCTCTCTCTCTCTCTCTCTCTGGCAGTTGGCTCTGTTTATCTCTACCATCAGCGTCCTTCTGCATGACACAGAGTGGTCGCCATAGAAAGAAACTTTTTTACTGTTCAAATGAAGTACATCAGGACCAACAGCTTGAAACGCCTCTTCTCACTGAAACGGCGCAGTATCGATCTAGATGCTACCAGTCCACATGGCACCACCTCCTCCACTGACGAAGAAGAAGGAGAAGAGGAATACAACAATGGCGGCTTCCGAGTTGTTCGAGAAACAGAGCATCGTCAGAAGCCCACATGGCGATGCTTCTCTTTTGAAGAAATCTCTGAGGCCACCGACGGTTTTAGCTCAGGTTTTCTAAAGATATATCTGGGTATGCATATACCTATGTGAGTTTTTATGGGTCTGTGACGGTTTTGTTTGTGGGTGACAGATAATTTGGCCGGGAGAGGAGGGTATGCAGAGGTGTACAGAGGAGTTTTACTGGACGGAGAGACGATTGCTGTGAAGAGGTTAACGAAAGGGTCGAATGACGAGAGGAAAGTGAAGGACTTTTTGACAGAGATTGGGACTATCGGCCATGTGAGCCACCCAAATGTGTTGTCACTTTTAGGTTGTTGTATTGATAATGGGCTTTATCTCATCTTCCATTTCTTTTCCAGAGGCTCTGTTGCTTCCCTTCTACACGGTATCCTGCAGACTAAACAACCCTCCAAGAATGAATCTTTTCTTGTTTTTTACCGATATTTTCTTGATTAAATTTCTGGGTTTTGGCTGTTTGTTGGAATTCCTCAATGCCTTGTGTTTTCTTGATTGAAAATTTTGTTGTTGCAGATATGAATTTGCCGCCAATGGACTGGAAAATAAGGCACAAAATTGCAGTTGGAACTGCAAGAGGACTCCATTACTTGCACAAAGGCTGTCAGAGAAGGATAATTCACCGTGACATTAAGTCTTCAAATATTCTCTTGACTGCAGATTTTGAGCCCCAGGTAATTACAGTATAATAACCTTCTGGGTCAGTGTCTGTTTTGGTTTCCTCTGATCAAAATGATGAAAGTGGTGATTTCAATTTGGCAGATTTCTGATTTTGGGTTGGCAAAATGGCTTCCATCTCAATGGTCTCATCATTCAATTGCCCCAATCGAAGGGACATTTGGGTACCCTATAATTCATATGTTTCTTCAATCTACCACTATTTTATTCACGGGCATCTCAAGAAATTTGACTGAAAAGAGGTTTCTTTTTGACAAATGGTATAGGCATTTAGCTCCTGAGTATTATTTGCATGGAGTTGTGGATGAGAAAACAGATGTTTTCGCCTTCGGAGTCTTCTTGCTTGAAATCATTTCAGGCAGGAAACCAGTAGATGGGTCTCACCAAAGCTTACATAGCTGGGTAATGACAATCTCAATAATATTATATATATATAATACATATATATTATATTTCTATGTATGTACTACATGTTGGTCTTTAGTGAGATTTAAATTAATTGCAGGCTAAACCAATATTAAAACAAGGAGAAATTGAGAAACTGGTAGATCCAAGGCTGCAGGGGGCCTATGATGTAACTCAGCTTAGTAGACTTGGCTTTGCAGCCTCTCTTTGCATCCGGGCATCTTCAACATGGCGCCCTACCATGAGCGAGGTAGCTTACTGCTTTGCTGTCTAGTTTTTGTCTTTTGCAAGAATACCATTTACATAGTACTCCTATATATCCGATAACTCTATAGGTTTTCTAAGGTCAAAAAAACAATTAATTACAAATTAGAGGGATAGCAACAATATAAATAGCTTCAAGATATTGCTGGATACATACACACTATTATTTTTTGAATATGTATATGTTACATATATATATATATATATATATTATAGAAGTGGTCCATGGCTTCTTGCCCCTACAAAGCAGAGGCTTAAAGAGAACGCCATTTATTCTTTTGTGAAACTACAGTGAGGACCATGTCTGTTCCCTTAGAAAACTTCTTGATACATCATCTTAGTGTATCGTGTTCATGTGTAGAATATTTAGTTGCATTCTAGCTGACCAGATTAATGAGTATTTTATTAATAGAGTCTAATCTAATCCACCCATACTTTTTATTTATATATAAGTCACCCAGTGGCTCAATAAATAACTTCCATATTATATATATATATATATATCAGGTGTCAGCTTCTCAGATTTTCTCTGTAATATTAACCTTCTGTAAATCTTTATTAGGGTGAGGAATGAAGCACTGAAATAACCTAGATTCAGTCTTTTTAAAGGAGTTGTTGAAGTGTTTATGCTTTTTCTTTATTTAATTTCATTAGCCATAAGATGTTCCATCCTACCTAACCTAATTATCTTTTGCTTAACAGAAAATTAAACTATGCATCTATCATGTGATGAGAAAATTATAGCATGATAATTAGCAAAATCATGGTGAGAGTGGGTCCAATTTTGACTTCTTATTACATTGAATTAATTTGGTAATAAATTAGCTAATACCAATAGAATTTTTTTTAATTAGCATTCTGGTAATAAAATACTAAATGTTCAAGTATGGGGAATATTCAGAAGCAACTTAGTCTCGATGCTCGAAAACTAATAATATTCATTCGGGTTTGGCTCCAACTCTACATAGATCTTATACCGAGAACTTAAAAATCTGACCTTTTTGTTTTTGAATTGAATCAGCCTACATGTGTGCTGATATATATGTTTACCTAAGAAGCATTGAGAAAAAACTAGTTACTGAATCGGACTAGTTTTCTTGTTATGAATCACACAAAAGCAAAATGCTGCATCAACAGTTCTAATGCTTTTGACATTTCAAAGTGGTCGAGGTCAACTGTTTATATAATAAATACATATAACCCTTTTTTCTACATTGTTTCTATATATACTTATTCAGGCTGTTAGGTTCACTATCTGAATGATGCAATGAATCACACACCAAAATTTTTTTCTTTGAGTATACTTTTCATGTTTACTTTCTTGATTACAGATTTTAGAGGTACTGCAAGAGGAGGAAATAGATGAAGAGAAGTGGAAGATGCCGGAGGAAGAAGACGAGCAAGAAGAATTCTGGGGTTTTGAGGATCTCGAATATGAATGTGATACATCCTTTTCTGTTTCACCCCACGATTCAATCTCCATAGAAAGCTCTTAAACCCTCACCAAGAAAAAAAGAAACCAGTGATCTGTGACTCAGTGAGTTAGGTGGTCGAAGAAAATCCTAACCCACCCACCACTTTTGGCAACTCTGTAAATATGACAATTATATATATATATATATATATAGAGTATATTTATCTTTACAGATTTCAGAATTATGATTGAATAGCAGCAACCCCACTTGTTTCTTATCAATCTCTGTTTATATTTATGTGAGAGAAGTGTTGAATAGATTGGAGTGATGTTGAACAACTCATAATTGGGCCTTTGCACTTTTTTCAGAAAATTTTGATCCATCAGAGGGAAATTCCATTAGGAAAAAGGGTGAAGCACCTTGAAGATGTTGGATAAATGTCAAACGAATGGACATAAATTGAAGAAAAAGAAGAAATAATTGCCTTTTTTTTTTTTTTTTTCTGTGCAATCATTCTCCAACTAACCAATAATACCATATGCATCAATGTAGAATTCTGTTCTTTCTTAAAAAAAAGGGTTATATGGTAATTACCAGAGTAAATGTAAGTATAAAATAAGTTGTTTTTAAAATTAAATTTTTAAATAATTATGATGCACCCAGTTAATTGCTTTACATAATATCAAAAGTTAGAGGTCAAGAAACCACTAAGATTAGTTCTACTCTCTCTAATTTCAACATTTATATTTTATTTATGTGATATATATTAGTTAATCATGACTATACATTTAATATGCAATTAAATTATTTAATTATATTTTCAATTTTTCACAATTGTCAATTTATATTGAGGGATTAAATTTGAACTTGATATGAAATTGACTTGAAATTAGAAAGTTATTTTTATTCAAAATTTATCATATGTTGTATTTTAATTTATATTACATATAATTTAAGTACCAACAAAAAAAAATTCAACATGAAAGTTGAATGAATTATATATGATATGAAAAAAAAAAACTATTCGAAAATACATTTAATTTTGACGTACGAAAGTTAATTTAATAACATATTTATTTATTAAAATTAAAAAAAAAAAAGAACGAAGTTACATAATTGAATTTTAAGTATACGAAAGGAGTTTATTGTATCGTTTCAAAATCCACAAGTGCTTTTAAGATGATTAAAGCACGAGTTACCATAGATTTTAAGAAAATTACTAACCCTAATTAATAATGATATGGGAATTAATCTCACACATGAGCATGTGTCATATATATGACCCTTATCATTTCATGTTGGTAGACTAATTATAATGAGAAATTGCTTTTGATGGACAAAAGTTAAACCTCTCCAACTAACAAATTTTATTTTTTTTTATGACAATTCATTAATGTGATGATTGCAATTTATTATTTTTCAAATTTCTGAAAAAAAAAAATTTGTACATTAAAATTAAAATTTTAAATTTAATAAAAAAAAGTCACCTTTAAAATTTTATTTTTAAGCATCAATCCAATCTTGAACTAATCCATTAATTTGAATATTCCTAGATTTTGAACCCACAATATAAATAATAATAATAATAATATGGTATGTAACAATAATAATTATAGTGGACATGGTTGATAAAAAATAGTGACACAACAAAACAATTTGCCAAATGCATCAGGCTGTCGTGCCAGGTGTGTTTTTCAGTATTGTATATATATGTATTTATGTACAGAAAATGTATGTCTACTTCAGTGGAACCCATGCCAGAGATGTGAAACCAAGGCTTAATATATATATATATATATATATATATATATATATATATGTGTGTGTATGTATGTACGCATGAATAACATTTATTCCCAAATTATTTTCATGCACGATCATATAAGTTAACCATTCAAATTTTATATAATGAAATCCTATACTCTAATTAAACTTATTAATAACATTAAAAATGACACTTGAAAAAATTTCCACCAAGTGTTTATTTATGTGTGCTAATTGTAAACCCCATGTTCTAGTCTTATGCTTGTGTCTATTAGCTGTTTCTTTTCCTGGAGCAACAACTAGCAGCTTTCAGCTTTCATGAGAACTGAAAATGCTATTCCAACAAACTACTATAAATCCAAAAAAAAAGCTTCAATTATAATATATATATATATAATATAATCGACATTTCAAATTAAGAAAATATATATTACCCATTATTTAGTATTTATAAAATGCTTTACCCATCATACTTATAAATATATATATATATATGTATATGTATTTTCAAGAATTACTGTCTGTTTTAGCCCTCTTTCTTGAAATGGGTGGTTCTTAGTCAATCTTGTTTTTGAATGAACAAAGAGTTTATCATAAAAGAAATTTATAAATTTGGTAAAACCAAACAAGGTCTCCCTATTTTTTTTTTTTTTAAAAATTTGCTATATTGATTTAGAATGTTTATTTATTTAACATATTCAGCCATTTATTCACTCACATATATTTTATTTTTTAAAAAATGATGATAAATATATTCTTCTTTAAAATAAATCAATCATTTTAAAGTTTTAATCTATTTTCATTCCAATTCCTTGTATACTGTCCAGATTGTTCAATGACTTATTGAAAAAGTCATATATAGATATATATATATATATATATATATATATGCATGTGTATGTATATGGGCATAGTTAGTGGTATCTATCTTCTAGTGGGATTCCATGCTAAACTTGAAAGTAAAGGTATATGCATGAGTACAAAAGATGTGGTATAATTATATTATGATTAGAAGCAAATTATAAAATTTGTGAAGAGAATAAGATAGCAGTTGATGAACAGGTGGATATGGGAATTGCCATAAAGTGATGAGGTGGGTGTAAGTATGTACTAAAATTATCACTTTATAAACGATTAGTTCACATTGAATTATGGGTTAGTTGAACCCTGCATATATATATATATATATATATATATATATATATATATATATTTTTTTTTTTTTTGTTCTTTAGGAGTTTGGAGCATCTTCAAACTCCTTTTAGTCATTATTTTTTGTTCTTTTAATTCAAAATCTTATATAGTTGGAGGTTGAAGTTGCTTGTTTAACTTTTAAAATAACCCTTTTTTCTAGAAAAAAATATTGTAAGTGGAAAGATGGTTTAGTGCAGTTATAGAAACTTATTTTAAGTCTTACAAGAGACTCCTGTAGCAGGTATTCCCATATATATATATATATAAATATAGATGTACATATATATATATAGATTAGTAAAAATATAAATTGGGGTATTGTTAATATACTAAACTATTTTCTTTATTTTTTATCATGTTATAATGTATTTGGTTTGGTAGTTAGTGTATTCTGAAATTATATTTTATGCATCAGTAGTAATTTTTTTAAAATATTTTGATCAAATATAAATTTTTTATGTTGAAATTATAAAAATTATGAAAAAAAAAATCAAAACAATAATCTTAAAAAAAATTGAATATGAACTTTATTTTTTTTCTTTTATAAATTAACGTTGAACTAATTTGTTGATTTTTTCAAAGAGTCCCAAATAACAATAGGAATCATGCACTGTGCGAGAATTATGACAATGTTCACCTACTTCAAATATATCTTGCATTAAAATTTTAATATGTTCTTCCTTCATGTAGTTTACTTTGTATATTGTTTATTTTAAAATTTTAAAATTACATATATTGATGTGACTTCTACACCAAAATATTATCTCAATTTGCACTTAGTCAAATTTTCTAAATGAATCTTGAAATTAATAAAATTTTAATGAAATAATTATTATTTTTAGTTTGATTTAATTTAATTGAAAAAAAAAGCTTCCTCATCTATGAAGTTAATGCTAGTAATTTTTTTTAAGTGACATAAAAGAAAAATAAATAATACATTGCATATCACCTCATCAAATAAAGTAAAATTAATATAAAAAATAAATTATTCTATATTTATTTAAAATTAATAATTTAATTCAACTCACCTAAATCATTTTTCACACTATATGACATGTTACATGTTTTTCTATGTAATACGTTATGTTTAATAGTAGGATTAACAATAGTAATATAATAGTCAAGTAGATAGTTAAATATAATTGAAAATGTAAGTTATTAAATTGAACAAAATAAATATTTTGTTCTCATTTGCTTAGCGGAAGAACGGGAGAGCTCATGCCATGTGATTTTCACAAGATAAATTCAAGAACCAAATCAATTCATATAGTGAAACTGAAACTGCTCAAGGGATGAGATCCCCAAGTCTCATGAATATTACATCCTATCCGAGTAACAGAAAAGTTTTTCCAAAAAATTTAACGTGTCCCCTTGAGAAGTACAAATTTATACATCGGTTAAAACTGTAAAGAAACCAGACAATCAATCGACTATATAATCCAACAATTCAAATCTGCTTACATTCAGCTCTTCAGGTGGATTCTGAGGGAGGAAAGTCGAAACAGATTGCAGTTTAAAGTGAATTACAACAGGAAACCTATGCTTACAGTTTGGCTATTTTGTGGCCTGTGTAATTATATTACTAATGGAACTGGCTTGCTCTTTTGCAGTCTCCACCAAGGAATCCTACACAAGGTAATGTTATTTGGTTGGTAACATTTAAAAGATAACAAGTGATCAAACAAGGAACAGGAAGAAAATTTACCTGTGCAGCTATTAGCCGTGCAACAGTTTTCTTACTTGACTCTTGAAGCTCACCGGCAATCAAGATCTCATCCAATATATAATAGGCCTTAGTTTAACAGCGACAATCAATTAGAAATGGCAAAATCTTGTCACATGCACGAAATTTATGATTCATAAGAAAATGGCGTTCATATCATAAGCAGCAATCATCAATCAAAATTAGCATAAATGAAATTTATCCTTCAGATGGCTTTCAAGATAGTATACATACCTTGTGAAAGTTAAAAATCAAGTCTAATTCACAGACCTGGAACACAAAACAAAATGATCGACGATGGTTACTACAAAACAGCTTACATAATCATGAATCAACATACCTACTGACAATCATTCATAATTCAAGTTTACTCACACTGCCGAAATAGCGATCAAGAATCTCAACAAAATGATGAATTATCTCAAGGATCTCCAGTTCGTTGTCGTCCTGATCTATGCACATGCAGAAGTACAGACTAGCATATCTGTATGATCCATATGATGAACCAATTCAGTTTATCACCATTAAAATGGACAAAAATATTCCAGGACAGTTGTACCACAACATTGAACATAGTTATCCCAATATTACCTTTTATAAACAACTTTGTATCCTCTCCATTCCACAAAATTACAAAGTTTTGGCCCTCGAGTAAGAATAACCCCACTTAGTTCTCGAATAATCTTCACAATACATGCAAGCCATGTAAAGAATCAACATTTTATAATCACACCGACGACTTAAACAATCTCATAAGAGCATGATCTGTTGGATGCAGTTTTAGCAAGATATTGCAATTTAAAATGCCTAGTTCCAAGTGATATGGATTGGTGGATCATACCTTTGATCGCTCTTTTTGAGAATAGGGTGAATACCATTTTGTTAGTCTCACTTTTCCCTGGCGACTTATAAGAAGCACAAAGTGAATCTGAAACATGGGAAGCACAAAATAAGGGGAAGAAAATGAGGGAAAACAACATAAAAGGCCTGAGTCATTTTTACTATGAGGTTCGTTGCATTACTGTGCTACAATGATGCAAGATAAAAACTCATCACATGATGAAGGCATCCGAAGGTAACTCTTGTCTATTGATAGTAAGAGCAACGGAATCTGTCATAAGACTCATGACATAATCTAAGTCCAACGAAACTAGCAATTAGTGCAGAAGTAAAGTAGATCCCATCATCTAGAACTGAGATATCTAATTTTTCATTAAAGGTTATGTAATAGTTTTGCAGTAGCATAAGTACATGAGAAGGTTTTATTGTAATTATTTAAGAACAAAAAAAAGATTTGACTATGATTTAATACCTAAAACCAAGGAAACCTAAAAGTCTATGGATGCCTTGGCTATTCAAACTAATAATTCTCTGTTGAAACTTTACAAAGACATGCTTTCAGCCTCTTCACATAGCTGTATGGCTTCATCAAGCATTCATTGGCATTGCCAGGCAAATAAGGTTAGTTAACCACTAATCAGGTTTTTTAAACTAATACCCAATAGTAACACCATAAATCACAGGAGATCTTTCCAAACCTTAATTTTGGAAGTGTATAACATGTACAGGGTAAAGAAGGGAGTTTCTATACACACACCACATCAACTTAATCTATCACCCAACAAAGATGTCTCTTTAATCGTGAAGAGATTTTTTTTTTTTTTTCCTTGAGAGGCTAAGTAAACCATGAAAAATTCGTTAGAGAAAATCCATGATTCATTTGAACCTGAGAAACTGATAACTAGTGAAGGAAAACAGTATTCTTGCAATCTTTCAAAAAAGATTTTGACAAGTAAATTCATAGAGAAGCTGCTAACTAGAGGACAAGAAGAAAGAAAAGGAACAAAAGTCTACTGCAAGTTATTAAAAGCAATCCAGAAACCCAGTGACTAATAACTGGAGCAGTATAACTTATATACTAATTTATCTTCTGCAAAGCACAAGGAGACTTTTTTTTTTTTTAAGGGCAAAAGAAAGTATTATGGGTCATCCATTTTTTTTTTCTGGTGTAGTAGTGACTCTAGCATGCAGCAACCAGTACTTCAACCAGGAGTTGACCAAGGTCATGGCCTTTCCCAGCAACTTTCACTAAGCAATCTATACTTATTCATTTGTTTTTTAAATCTTACCACATAAGCATTTCCTAGCAAGCCCTAATCAGATGTCATCATATTGGATTAAAAAACAGGTTTCTGAAATAATTTAAACATAAAAAAAGAGAAAAAAATTAAACAAAAACTGAATTAGTTTACCATCTTTTATTCGAACACTAATCCTTTTCACCAATTGGAGCCGATGCTCTTCCACAATCTTCACTGCAATAAATTAGAAGAAATAAACTATATAAAAAAGAAGCAAGCTAAAGTAAAATTTTCAGAGTTATAGCTCACGTTCGGAGAGATTACTCATCATAAAAGGGTCCCATAAATCATCATCTTGTCCTAGCACAATCTTTGTAAATTTACTGTGATTGCAACGTGAATCTCTATCAGTGCAATTTGCAAGTTTTGGCCATGGTTGTAAGATCCAATTTTCTAATACTAGTTGCTTGTTAAGAAAGCAAAAATTGCCCAAATGTAACTTTATCAGCATGACCATACTCGAAATTTTCATTACCAATCAGAGTGTTCCAGCTCTTTGGCAATTTCTTATAACTATTAATCATGCTGCATACAGAGATGATCATAAGTACATATTTACATAATCGAAATATTACCTACTAACTTACCTAATCAAAATACAAATAAACACAGATAATTGAAACACATAAGACCATTCGCCAAAAAACGGTACACAAACAACACCAATTAACACAGGTCCCTTCAAATTTCAAGGGAGCTTCCAGAAAGCAGTTCCCCTCAAAGCAAAAGCGAACTAGAGGGAGCTGCTCAGCAGTAGCTGCGCTTAAAAATTAGGGGAGGCAACTACTCCTCCATTTAAGTTTGAATGGATGCCGATCCGCGCATAGATCGGCCTCCGTTCATCTTGATTTCGATTTTGTTTATGAAAAAAACGAATAAAAGACAGAGAAAGGGAGAGATCTGCTTACCTGATTTGAGAGAGCCCAGGGAGGAGATGAGGAGAAGGGAGACGGTAAAGAGTGACGCGCGTAAAAATGGTGCTTAAACAGGCGTTTGTGAAATTTAACTTTAATCAGGGGCATTCTAGCAAAAACGAGTGGGTTAGAGTTTTACAGGAAATTTTGAGCCTAATTTCAATTTGGCCCCTGATTTCTCACTCATTTTTTTTTTATTTTCCTCCCTAACATTTAATATTTAACTTTTTAAAAAAAATTTATTTTGGTATTAGTTTCATAGTTATATTGAAATTCATGGGAGTAACTTGCTCAAAGAAACAACCAATCGAATTTCATTTTCTCTTGCCCGAGTAATTTATTTTGTTATATTGTTAAAAACTTACATAAAAAATTATAATTTTATTTTAATAAATAAAAATATAAGAAATTAATGAATTTTAAATAAATTGTTCCCGTTATTTATATGTTAAAAAAATAATTTAAATAGTATGCAAAGAGGAGAACATCATCCACTACAATATTTTTTAAGAACAACAAAATTTATTAAATAAGTAGATAACAAAATGTGAATATAAATTAAATTATCGTACTTATATATAATTACACATTTACTTATACAATGAGTTCGAAAATTATTGTTAAAATAATTCATTTTACATAATATATTAAATGTAAAGTTATTATGATATTAAAATTTGAATGTAGTGAGATATTAATAGATGAGTATGTTGAATTTAGTCCGCTGTTAGTGCAACAATCAACTATGAATTATGGTTCACACTAATAGAATGTAGACTTATAAATTTTATACATGTAGTGATTTTAATTGAGCTTATATTTGTTGCAATACTCAGATAACAAAAAATATTGAGATTAGTTATATTTTTATTTTACTAATATTTTCTATATTCAAATGCTTATAGTTCAATGTGTTGTTCAAAATGAAACAAAAAAAAATCTAAGTAGACTACCAAGTAAATGAAATTTTAGTAAAAATTGAAATTTCAATAATTTTATATATTAATTACTTATATATTTCTATTTGCATCTATTCTAAATAAATTATATTATCATTTCTGCAAAATATAATAATAACATAATTTATATATTTGATATATAATTAAATTAATATTCATCTATTTTTAAATCTATAAATATGAATTTCTATATTCTTATGTCAATGAATTAATTAATAAAATAAGTAATTTATATAATTAAAAATTGAAGTAATATGTTGTTTTTTTATAAAATTATATTTATGTTCATATTCTACTTATTTGAAATGCAAATAAAATTTAATATTTAATTAAATGCAATACAATTAGCCATGCTTTAGTATCCATTGATAATATTCGGACAAATTATTACTGTGAAATATAAAATAGTTTACTACTTTTATACATAATTTTTAAAGAAAAAAAGTAAAAAAGAAAGAAAGAAAAACAAAGCAGGGTTTAGTTAGGGCTTTTGATGGAGCAGACAATCAGCAACTTAGTAGCCTGAAGAACATAAAACGGTCTCCAACCATCTCCTCCCCTCTGCTCTCTCTTGCTCCCTCCGTTAGAGGAAACCAGTGAAAAAGAAAAGGAGGAGATGATAAGGGGAGGGAAGAGCTACGTATCTTCACCTCCAGCTTTCTCAAACGATGCGAAGAAGCTTCTCGTTTGCGCTGCCAACACGGTTGCCATCTTTAGCACCGATACTGGCTTGCAGGTTCCATTATTTACATATTCATCTTTATCTTATTCGCAATTTTTTTTAGTATCTGAAGTGTTATACAAATTCATCTCAATTTCTCATATATTCATATGCTTGTTTTTGTTTCGGGGTTTGGGGTAATAGATAGCATCACTGGAAGGTCACACGGCGCTTGTGACAGCGGTGATTGTGGTGCCAGCATGGAATCCGGCGAGTAAGATACTGTGTTACTGTTGGACGGCCTCGCTCGATGGAACTATTAGATATTGGGACTTCTCGGCGCCGGCGCTTTTGAAGACGGTCAATGTTCATCTTCAGGTTTTTTCCATGGTAGGTCTACATGCTGAATCTTATAAGCACGTTTGCTTTCGTTCTCTTTGGTTATTATGGAAGTATTGGAAAATATAGAAAATTGTAGTTTTCTTATTAGATGTTTTGTTCTTGTTTCTTTTTTCTTAATAGTTATTTCCCGCTGTCTTAGTTTAAACGTTTATTAGAAATCGAGTCTGTATTTTGCGGTGTTTGGGGAATGCCTGCATTTGTTTCACTTACAGTAGTACTTCATTGAAGAAATTTGGAGAAATGTTTGACTTCTATAAATTCTACACAATTATATGTTAAATTGGACCAATTTGTTTATTTTATCCTTAGTCTCAATAGGTTTAGAAACTGTTGATTCATTATTTCACATGTTAGGTTATTCCATCTTTTTTCAATAAACGACAAGAAGTTCAAGACAGTGCTCATGACCTGCTTGCTTATGTATCCGTCGAAGATTCAAGTGTGCCAGCAGAAGGGCCCAATAAATTATGTGGACAAATACGGAGATGTAACCTGACCAAGTTCCGGATGCCTCGTGGTGAGACTTTGAAAGAGGTATGAATTAATAATCTTTTGTATGCTTTCCCTATTTGGGGATTAGAATTTTCTAATGTATAGAAAACAAAGCATAAAGTAGATTAGCATTTTCTAGATTTAGAAGAAAGGAAACATCTTAACTAAGAGCTCGAGGTTTTCATTGTGATTTGTTCTCTGAAAAGTTTGACTATTGGTTGTTTGAAAGCTTTCATGTGATTATTAATTAGTCTTTGTTCTAATAGCATAATATTTAGATAGTCCATGCTTATCAATTGAGTTATAGGTTTGTGAATGTGGTAATCAGTAAGTTGGATAGGGTTCGACTTGGTTTTTCTTTCTTTACCTGTGTAGAAAAGTACCCACCAAATTTTAGTGGTTTATTAAGAGAGAACCCAACAATCTCTTGAGTAGAAAAGTACTCTATATAAGTTTTAATAATTCATTAAGAGAGAAAAAAACAATATCTTGAGGAAAAAAGTACTCAACAGTTTTGGTACTTAGTCTCATAACATTCTATTCCATTGGACGTTGATCTGTTTTAACAAAAGGATGGGAGCAGTTTTTTGTTTGCTACTCAGGAGCTGCCTGTTTTTTTCTTCTTCCTAGACTTATCCAAATCGTAAGTGCAAATAGAATAAAGACATTAGGGGTATGCATTTATCTTTCTGGACCAAAAAATGGGACCGGGCTGAACCAGTTATGTGCTAGTTTTCAGTCAAAACATCCTGGGAATGAGAAAATCAGTCTATTTCAGTCCAGAGCTGGAAGATCTAGAAATTTAAAAATAAAATATAATTTGTAGTTTTAATTGTATTTTTTATTAATTCTTTAATTAGTAAATAAAAAATTACGATCAATTTCGGCTCTGACTGCAAAATAGTGGTCCAGTCTGGCCCTGATAGTGACACTGACATAATGTTAGGATTACTCTCTGACAGTATTAGATTCTTTCTTCCTTCTTTTTTTCTTTGAAATAAAGATACTTTCTTCCTTCTTCTGTACACTTTGGCTAAGGGTGTAACTTTAGGATACTTAGGACCCATAAAAATAATTTTTGGCAGATTTGCACATTAAATGCTTCACATAGAATTCCTTTTTTTTTCCTGGGAGGCTGCTCGTGGATGTACGATATACAAGTTTATGAAGAGGGGAAGGACTATGGTGAACTGGTGTTGTCTATGCAAGAATGCAGAAGAGACTTGTGATCACATTCTTCTTCAGTGCCTTATTGCATATAACTTATGGTTTATGGCTTTTGGGATATCAGGGCACAGTTGGGTGTTGGCGGGTATGGTTAAGGATGAGATTTGGGCTTGGAAGGGTATTGTGGGTTGAAAGAAGGTTTTGGGTCTCTCATACCATTAGCCATTTTTTGGGTTACTTAGAAAAGAGGAACAAAAGAGTTTTTGAGGGAGTGGGAGAAGGCATTGACAGAATTAGAGAGAGATGGTTCGATCCCTTGATGTATTGATTATGAAGCAAAATTTGCGTTCCTTTGAGACTTTGGTGACTTAATTGATATGTTAACTGATTTGTAAATTTTTTTGTATATGGGTTTTGCACCCTTTTGGTGCTTGTTAATAATACTTTTTCACTTATTATTTTTTTTAAAAAAATCAGAATAGTTTTTTTTTGAGATAAAAGTAAAAAAATGCATTAAAAATTGGTTCTAAGGAGGTACCGCCAATTTACAAAAGATTTACATATCAATGAGCATCTCGACAACAACTCCCATGTCATCAAAGATAAGAGACTGTGTCCCAAAAGTATGGATCCAAAACAGTGTATCCATCTATCCTTGATATTTACAAAAGTATCTTCAATGCCTCAAAAGCCCCATTGTTTCTTTCTTTTCAAATAACCCAAAAGATAGTTGTTGGCAGAAAATGTTTTAGGAATGTTTCTCTTGGGGGATTGTGTTGGTTATGCAAAGTAAAATATCTGAGATGTTATCATAAATTTCCTATCGCAGAGTGTTCAGAGTTGCTTACAAAATTTGAAAATGACACTGTTTTTCATGATTATTAACAGAAGTTTCTGCACCAGGTTTGTGCATCAACAGAATTATTTACTAGGGGATGGTTATGTAAACAGTGTATCTTTGACTCAACTCATGTTTTCACATCCTATAAATTTTTTTTTTTGTTAGGAAGAATCTCCATGAAAAATTGGAAAAAATAGGGCCTGTACCTGTTTCATCTCTCCAGCAGACAAAAAATCCCACTGAATGAGTTATATATTTTCCTGTAATTAATTTTGCTCTGGATGTATGATATTGTGTTTACCACTTTTGCAGACTGAAGAACCAGAATCTATTACTGCTAGTCCCTCAGGAGAATTTTTTGGTATCCGTAGCAAGTGTAAACTCCATATTTGGAAGGTCCCTTCAGCAAAATCTAAGCATAATATGGCTAAGATGATGACCCTGCATCATACCAAGATCATGACTGTTCTTGCATTCCATCCAACACAGAAAATTGTAGCTGCCGGTGATGTGACTGGAAGGATTTTAATCTGGAGGGGTTTCGGTTGCAGGACATTTGCTATAGGTAATGAATTGGGAAGTGGAAGATCAATGGATGATAAGGAAGAAAAGCCTGGGGTGAGGGGTAATGATGATGCTGATTCTTGCACTACATGGCACTGGCATCCTGCTGAAGTTAATATCCTCATGTTTTCTTCCGATGGAGCCTACTTATATTCAGGTGAAAAGAGGAAATATTACCATGCACTGATATTATGATAAACAAGTGTGAAATCAATACATGATTACCAGAATGATAAGCAAGTGAGGCTGGTTATATGTTTTCGCCAAAAGAAAACCATTGGGCTGTTTAAGCTATTCTCTTCATTAATTCCACAAAATTGGATAATTTTGCAACTGATCCTTGTACGCAAGGGCTGATTTGTGGTGGGTGTGATCAAATATACCATATATATAACTAGTGTATGGGGACCGAGAGTTAATTGCATTCCCTGCTTTGTTGCATGCCTATGTACTTTGAACTTTGTTAATGTTAGATATTCATCAAGGATGTATGTGGTGAATAATTTACAAGTCAGTGCCAGTTAACTACTTCAGAATTGTTCCAAATTCCTTAAGTCTGTAAATTGGATCACTTTAATCTAAATGCTTGGTATTTTTGGGCCTGGAAGGGTATTAGTGGTCAGAAGAAACATGTCAGTCTTGTTCCCCTTTCTATATTTTAGGTGGTGTAGAAAGAAAGAAACTTAAGAGCGTTTGAGGAGGTGAAAGATTGTTTTGATAAGGTTAGAGATAGATGGTTCCAGACCCGGAGTTTTTTGGTTAGAGGTCATCCTTTGTATTCAATGGAAGATTTTAGGGATCTCATAACATCCTAATACATGCCATACTTTTTATTTTTTTTAAAAAGTTCCATGGTATTTGTTATCCCTTATTCTTGAGCTGTTTTCCTTTTGCAGAATAAAGGAATAATTTTCTTGTTCATGTTGGTTCATTTAATACCCAGGTGGAAAGGAAGGCGTTCTTGTAGTTTGGCAGCTAGACACAGGAAAGAAGAAATTTTTGCCACGAATTGGGTCTCCACTTCTGTATTTTACGTGTTCTCCAGATCCTTCACTTTCCTCAGTTAGTATCAGCTTAAAATTTTATCTTATTATTGCATACTGACTGCTGTAAAAGAAGCGCTTTTTTTCACCTATTTTACTGAAGTAAGGGTCCTCAGATATCTTGTGCAGATAATCGAATTCATCTTCTTAAAATGCCTTCCATGGGAATTTGGAAGTCCATTTCTGGGATTAAGGTTTGTTCCTATAAGTATTTTATGCAGTTTCG